GGATGAAACCCGCTGACCTCAGCGGGATTACGTGCATGAATCAGAGCAGCAGGCCTGGGCTCGGAGCTGAAACCCAGCACTGGGCAGGCCGCCAGCATCAGGCCCAGGGTCCACTTAGGCTCCACTTAAGCCCTATGGGATGCAAGTGGTACGCAGGCCTGTGGATGTGAGTGGTGAACAAGCCTTGTGCTGGGCCTCTGCTGAAGGATGAATTTCAGCCTGGCTTCTTAACTTCATGGGCGCAAACGTGCAACAACGGTTTCTGAAGCAAGGAGCAAAGATGCTCCCAGAAAGCCTGTGGGGTGTGCTCTAGCAAAGGGCTGGTACACGTATGCCTGCAGCAGCGTCCTCCTTCTGCTGGACAGGGAACCTTCTCATGAGCCTGAGCAGTAACTGTGATTTATGACAGCTTCTACTCAGAGGAAGAAGTGTTTTGCTACCCTCTGCACATCCACAGTCATGAGGTTGTGTTGTGCAGCAGGGTGGCTTTGTGAAGCCTGGATATCCTCTGTGCACAAGAGATGCCAAATAAAAGCAGGCAGGAGGAGGTCCTTGGCACTGGCTTTTCCTATCCTGCATTGCCTTAGATGTAGGATGACCTTACCTGCTCCTGCAAGTTGGCTCTCACAGATCAGTGAGCCTCAGTTTCAGAAGCCCATTAGGCACTGAAATCAAAGGCAGTCTTCCCTTTAGTGTCCAAGTTTACTGAGTTCCCCTTGCTGTAATGGCCAGCACCTTTGCATGTGCTGCTCCTGTGTCCCAAAGTGCTGACCAATGGATGTTGCACACAGCTACTGGTATCCCCCAAACCAAGCTTCTACCTTGAAAACATATGTGTTTCTCAGTATGCTAAAGAGTCTGGTTCTGACCCTCACAAAACACATTTCTCATCGCGACTTTATTTTGGGACATATTTCCAAGCCGTACATCCCTGCAAGAACTGTGAAGCAAAAGTAAATCAGCAAATGCCAGTGGAGCAAGAAAATACTGCAGTGTATTTCTCGAGAAAATGGACATTAGTTGGCTGGTTCTCGGCCAAGCCAAACAAGGTGGTTCTCAGGATCCAGAGAGGTGGAGGCAGGTGTGAAGTGGCAGACCCAAAGGGGCAGGACAGTCTAGGCACTGCCTGAGCACGGAGGGTACAGAGCAGTGGGAGACAGCCTGTTGCTGGGCGAGAATGCAGCAGCCCTTGCCTGGACCTGGCTCTGCTGCCTGCAGAAGCCCTCTGCTCTCCTGAGGAATACAGATAACGTTTCTTTTCAGAATTGTGAAAAAGCGTCATTCCTGTGCAAGTGGCAAGGCAGGGATAAAAGCCATCCTTTCCCCCGGGAGATGTGACCGGGATGGTAGAATAAAGGAGGGCGTCCGGGTCGGGAGCTGCCGGCGGAGCCGCTCCGTCTTCGCTCCTCCCGGAGCCCCCCAGGCGCGCCCGCTTGCACCGTGCGGGGCGCCGAAGCTGGGTGCGGGAGAGCCAGAGCCGGGAGCGGGCGGAGCGCGGTGCCGTGCCGTGCGGGACCGGGTGGGCCCACTGCTGGCAGGTGACCGCGGCGTGCGAGGCCGGTGCGGGCCTGGACGGGCACGTCCCCACCTGTGGCCCCGGCGGGGGTTTGTTGCTGCCCTGGGACCGCCGCCTCTCCGCGTCGCGTCGCGTCGCCGACCCCGCCGTGCGGGGGCGTCCCCGGCGCGCTGCGGTTCTCACATAAATCAGGACCGAGCTCCTGGGAAAGGGCCATCCTTCACCGGGCGCTGCTGACAGAGAACGAGAACCAGACGGGCCCTGAGATAAACCACGGCGCGCAGCGTTTACACAAGGGCAGGCTCTGTGTAAATAGAGCCGGGCGCGGAGGGCAGCTCCCGGCGGCGCGGGTCCGCTCCGACTGCGGCCCCAGCCCGCGGGCCGCCGGGCTCCCGGGGCGGCGGGCAGGTGACTACCGCCCGCCCAGCGCCTTCCGCCGCCGCGCCGCCGTCCCCCGTTGGCTCCCTGAGCACCGGGGCTGGAGACAGGGCCGGATTAGTGTGTTTGTTTGTTTACGGCCATTAGAGCGGGGCCGGCTCCAGCACTCCGCACCCGCGAGACTAATGGAGCAATTAGCAGCCCCGGGACTGATAGCATCGCCCCGAGCGAGGCCCCCGGCCGCGGCCGCTGCTACCGGGCTGCCTGCGCCCGGCGCCCTGGGTCGGGCATGGGCTGCCCGCCCGCCGCGATGTGCGCGGCCGCTGCAGGGCTGCTGCTCGCTCCCCGGGCCCGGGGGGGCTCTTGGCTCCGCTGCAGCATCCGCAAGGCAAGCTCCATCCATTACAATAATCCCCTGTCTAAACAGAGCGCAGGAACGGCCGGGACAACAAGGCCCCGCTGTAAACAGAGCTCAGGGGACGCCGCTAATGATATAAATAAAATAACCATTAATAGCCCTGTGACCCCAGCCCAGCCGGTTTGGGAAAGCCCCGGAGCCGACACCCGCCGGCAGGTACCGGGGCTGCCCCGCTTCTTCCCGTCCCTGTCTTCTGCACCCCGGCACTCCTCGTCTCGGTCCGGTCGTGCTCCTTGGCGCCAGTCGCCCGCTACGGGCACTGTCGGGCCCGACCGTCTCCCCAGTTCCCAGCTGCGAACTCGCCGCCGACCCGTCTCCACCAAAGGGGGGATGCTGGCTGGCATGGCGGGAAGGTGCTGGCTCGGATACCGCACCGGGAGCACCGGCGGGTGATGAGGCGGCCGCAGGAAAGGCCAGGGTAACACGGGGTGCTCCCAGGCCTGTCGGGGCCCGGCCGCGGCTTGCTCCCTCCGCGGGGCCTGGGTTCTTCGAGCAGTCCGTGTGGCCGGCGGCGGCACAAATGAGCGGGTCTCAGCGGGAGAACCACTCGCACAGCCGGGGAGACGTCCAGAAGCGTCGTTTCTGCCTGGGTCGGGCTCCTGGAGCCCGTAGGCCGCGCCTGGCGATCGGCCTGGCGATCGGCCTGGCGATCCCTTGTCCAGGATCCGGCTGCGGGTGGGAAGGGCGATGGCGCCAGGCGACCCAGAGCCGGCCGGGGCCGCGCCCTCGGCACAGAGGCTGTTTCTCCCGCAGACGGCCAGGCAGGCGGACATCGACTGTGGCCCGCAGGCAGTCCTTAATGCCGCCAGCACCGAGGGCACCGGACCCTGACGCTGCTCTCCCCGCCGCTGGGCTCCCGGGGAAAGCGGCGCCGTGCAGAGCCCTGCCCTCGCCGCGCGGCCGCCGAGCCCCGGGCCCCGAGGCTGGCGGGAGCGGCCCCGGTCGGTGGCGGATGTGTAACACCGATAAGGAGCTAATTGTTACTAATTGTTTTCGGGGCCCCGGCAGAGAGTCAGCGCCGGGCTTGTCCGCGCACCGGTGGGATGAGGCAGAGTGGAGCCCCGGTCAGGCCTGGTTACTGCGAACGCCCTTCCCCGTCCACCGTCCGGGCAGCAGGAGAGCGTCCTGCACCGGGAGCGGGCGGGGAGCGGCGAGAAGAAACTGAATCGCCGTGATTTACGGCGAGAGGTCTGAAGCAGCGCGGGGGGAACGGTCCACTGCGCCGGGGGAACGGGCTCCGCCGCGGGACCGGTAGCACACGAGCTGCGGCGAAGTGCCCGAGTGCAAGACACGGGCTCCCGTCCCGGGCTGCGCCACTAGTAAATGGGTGTGCGGGAAGACGAAGAAAGGAGGGCACCGACAGAGCCAGTAAACGGCGGAGCTGCCGGACGGTAACAACACAAGGGAAGCTCCCGGGAAGGCCCCGCGAAGCCGCGGCGCCGGGACACTCACCTGCCCGGCGTACGCGCCTGGCGTACGCGCCCGGCTCCGGTGGCCTCCCCTCGGCGCCGATCCGAGCCCTGCGGGGCGGCAGGATTTTAATCAAAACGAAAAATCTCACCAGGGACTCCCTGCCCCTCCTTCGGTGCGCCCGCTCCCCGCGCCGCGGCAGCCCGGAGCCCTTGGAGGGCACCGGAGGCCGCGGAGAGCGCCGAGAGGCTGCGACACCCCGCACCGCACCGCGGGGCTCGGCCGGTGCCCGGCGCAGCCCTGCGGCCGGGGGACCCGCAGGGCGGGGGAGCTCGGCAAGCTCATTCGGTGCGTCACCCGCCGGCACAGGGGCGAGATGGCTCATTACCGGAGGGAGAAACGAAAGAAAATGAAACGAAACGAAAGAAAACGAAAAACAACGAAAGGAAATACCGAAAAACGCGGTATCGCTCTTCCCACCCAGACCCACATTACTGCAGCCTCAGGCCGTCCGCCCGGCTCGGCCCGGTCCGCCCCGACTGGGCCTGGCGGCTGCGGGGCCCGATCCGGCGGCGGCGGCGAAGCGCGCTTTGCCCTGTGCGAACGGGTGTCGCACCGGCCGCGGCGAGCTGGGGCGGCCTGCAGGTTGGCCGGTCGACGGAGGGTCTGCGGGGGCACCGGGAAATGCGGAGTGGGTCGGCTACGTGTACGTCGCATGGCTACGGTCCGTCCGGGACGGCGGGGTCGCCGCCGGCTCCGGAAGGGGTGCGGGGCGGCAGAGGCGAACCTCGCCTTCGCGCCGCATCCTGAGCGGCGGGACGCACTTGCGGGGCCAGGCGGGCGGCCGTGCTGGTGGGCCGGAGAGGTCGGCCCTTCCCGGCACCGGACCGAACCGTGTGCGAGCAGGGGCCAGCGGGGCGCGCCGGGGCGAGGGTCCCTACCTACCTACACGTGCTTAGCACTGGGGGGCGCGGCGGCCGCGGCTCTCTGCGGGAACCCCGACCCCGACGCACCGTCCCCGCGCCCGCCGGGCGGGTGCCGGGCCGGCAGGGCGCTCTGCGGGGAAGCGGCCTCCCCGAGTGCAGCCTTAATACATTGCTATTTCTGGCCGGGCGGCCGGAGCCGGGCAGGGGGCCGGCTCTGCCTCCCCCTCCCTCCAATGGCGAGGCCGCCCCCGGCCCCTCCTTGCCGTGACGTGCCGGCCCGGGGCAGAGGAGGCTCCCGAGCCCTTGGCTGTCCCTGCAGAAGCTGTAACAAAACGCAGACCCCCAGCGCCGAGCTAATGGAGGCAACTTAGACAAGAGCAGGCGCGGCCCCTCGTCTCTCGGCGCTGCCCGCTCCCCCCGCACCGGGAGCGGCGCTCCCCGCCGAGCAGCCTCCCGATCGCTGCCGGGCCCGCGGGACTGCCTGGCCGCTTGCGCTGCCCCGATGATGTTACCGAGCCCCGTCACCTCCACACCTTTCTCTGTCAAAGACATCCTCAACCTGGAGCAGCAGCAGGACCCACACTATGGGGCCCAGCTCCCGCACCACCTGGAGCACCACTTCCACCCCGCCGCCTGCCTGCTGGCGGCCGCCGACGGCCCCCGCTTCTCCGACGGCGAGGAGGAAGAGGAGGAGGAGAAGCTCTCCTACCTGAGCCCTATGGCAGCGCCCGGCAGCCAGGCGGACGCGCGGATCTCCGCCGACAACTACGTTCACGCTGTGCTGCGTGGCTCCTGCGAGGCTCCCGGCCCGGGAGAAGAGCTGGACCCCGCGGTCCGCGACCCAAGTGAGTATCGGCTCCGCCGCGCTCCCCCACACTGTACCGCCCCGCCGGGACGGGCCTGCGCTAGTTCGCCGTGGTGAATTCCCAACTCTCTGGGCATCGCACCGCGAAGCCCCGGTCCTGGCGCTGCAGACCGGTCCACGTCCCCTGGCCGTGTCGAGCCGGGACCGGCCCGTCGCGGGGCTGCCACCGCCCTCCTCCGCGCCCGGCTCGCCACCTCCCTGGGTAGTGCCACTGCGGGAAGAGCCTCCGCAAGGCCCCGATCCGGAGCTGCCGGATCAGGCCCGCGCCCCGCAGCTTTGGCAGTGGGGAGGGAGGACCGGGGCGGGTTGGGCTCAACGCGCACCCGCTGCGGCGAGGCCCGGCGGCGGAGCAGGTGCCCGGCGCCGTGCGCGGCGTGTCCCCGGGGCTCACCTTGAGGTGCCGCAGCAGTAACGTGGCAGCCGCCCCGGAGGGGACGTGCCCGGCCCTGCCGCCCAAATCGGGCCCTCGCAAACGCAGGTGGTGTCGGACGCGACCGGTCCCGGGACTGCCTCCTCACTCGCACGGCGGTGCCCCGACGGGCGCGTAGCGGCTCGGGGTCGGCCGGGGCGCGGCGCGGAGCTCTCGCCCGCGGGTGGGACCCGGCGGGAGCAGCGAGCGCCCGGCGTCTGCGAGGCGCAGTCGTGACCTGTGCTCCCCCGTGCAGAGAGCTGCGTCCTGAAGAAGCCGCTGGACGCGACGGAGAAAACGGAGGAGGCAGAGAGGCCGAAGCAGCGGAGCCGGAGGAAGCCGCGCGTCCTGTTCTCTCAGGCTCAGGTCTTCGAGCTGGAGCGTCGGTTCAAGCAGCAGCGTTACCTGTCAGCGCCCGAGCGGGAGCACCTGGCCAGCAGCCTGAAGCTCACTTCCACGCAGGTGAAGATCTGGTTCCAGAACCGGCGCTACAAGTGCAAGCGGCAGCGCCAGGACAAGTCGCTGGAGCTGGGCGGCCCCACGGCCCCGCCGCCGCCGCGCAGGGTGGCCGTGCCCGTGCTGGTCCGCGACGGCAAGCCGTGCCTCGGTGGGTCGCAGGGCTACAGCTCGGCGTACAACGGGCCCTACTCCTACAATGGCTTCCCCGCCTACGGTTATGGCAACGCCGCCTCCTACAACCCCGGCTACGGCTGCACCTACCCGGCAGGCACCGGCGGCGCCTCCATGCAAGCCGCCTGCAGCCCGGCGGCGGCCGCCGGCCCCTTCGTGAACGTGGGCGGCCTGGGGGGCTTCAGCGGCGGCGGCCAGCCGCTGCACCAGGCGGCGGCGGGGCCGTCCTGCGGCCAGGGAGCACTTCAGGGCATTCGGGCCTGGTAGCCCGCACGCACTGAGGGTCGGGAGCGGACCGACAGGACGGCCTAGCGGCTCCGGGGCCCCGTTACCACCCGCACCGCAGCCCGGCTGCGCGCCGCACACCCTGGACCGGAGGCGGCGGCGGAACGGCGCAGCGGCACCCCGGCACTCCCGCGGGCATCGGTGCGGGGCCGGCGACGGACAGAGCGGAGCGGCGCGGCAGGACGGGTCCTCCCAAGCCCGCAGCGAAGCGCTGCCGCACCGCGGAGCCGCCGGGACGGACGGCCGGACGGCCGAGCCGGGCGGGCCGGAGCCGATCGTGCCGCGCTAGCGGAGCAGCTTTGCTTGTAAAAAGCCGACGGCGGGGCCCGGTGGTGCCGCGGCCCCTCTATCTACTTTGTATCGGTCACTGCCAGCGCCAGCTCGCCCAGTCAGTCAATAAACCAGGTGCAATATTCGCCACCCGATCCTCCTTCGCCCACCAGTCGGTGCCCGGTGGCGGGACGGTCGCCGCGTCGTGCCCACGGGGCAGGGCGGCCCGACCGGCTTGTGAGCGTGCCAAGGGCGCTGAATGGGGCCGCGCAGCTCAGAGCCGGGCCCATTGTGGCCGCCGGGCCGGCGCTGAAAGGAGCCGCCGAGGAAGGTAGCGGGAATAGGCGCTTATTGGATTCGGGAACAAAAGGTGTGGCAGGGAGGCGAGGGACAAAGGGGCCCCGGCGCCGAGATTGACGGGCCGCTTTGCCCCCCACTGAGGCCCAGGCCCGGCGCTTTATGCGCGGGGGCTGCAGAAACGTGCTAGGTTTTGTTCCCCTTTCTGGGAGCGCAGGGGAAGAGGAGGGGGGTCCGCGGGCCGCTGATTAGGGCCGGCCGGGCCGGGCAGTCTGAATGCCGGGGCATTATTGCTACATGTTCAGCCATTTCGCTCGATTGCAGGGGGAGGGGGCGGCCGAGGCCCCCGAGCCCCGCGGGACCGGCCGCGGGGTCGCCCACCCGCCAGCCCCGTCCCGAGCCGGCCCGTCCCGTCGCCGCTGCCGCGGCGCTCTCGGGGCGGTCGCGGCCCCGCTGCCGCGGCTCCGCCTGTGCCGTGCGGGTCCCACCGAGCCCCGCCGCCGGGGCCGGAGGCCGTTGGGGAGGGCCGGACACCCGCAGAGCCCCGTCTGGCTCACCGCGGGCGGCGGCGGGGACCAGGGGCGCCGGGAACTCTCCCGTGCCGTCCCGCACATCTGCCCGGCGGCGACGCTGGATCTCCAGAGGTGTTTCCAGCGGAGCCTTCTTGAAGCCGCCGGCACGATTGCAGACCCGAGGCTCAATATGCTACTCCTGTTACCCAGAGCTGCCCACCATGACGTCCCCTTGACCTCCCCCTGTGTGTTACAGGCGTGACAGTCCCTCTGCCACGAGCAGAGGACCAGGCTGCCTCGCAGAAGCTACAGGTAACGACAGTTCACGCTACTAAACCCGGGTTTACGCTGCACATTCCCACCATTCAATCTGGACGTGCATCCCTGGGGTTTGCTGTTTGACGGGAACCGGAGAAATTCTTTCAAGTGCAGCACTGCAGGGACAGAGTGGGCAACCAGCAGGCCCCGGAGCCCGTCTCGGCACGGCACCCCGCTGTCCCACGAGCCACCCCGAGGCCGGCAGGCTCCACGGGGCCGGCGCTGGGAGAGGATGCGGCACGCCCAGCTGATTGTTTGCTGGATGGCAGTAAGGTGTCACAGGAGAGGAAGCCCAGGCCCCAGTCTTGGCTTTAGGAGATGAGTGGTTAGGGCCTTGTGGTCTCGTGGGTAGAAACAGGATAGCCAAGAACAAAGGTAATGCGCTCTCTTTGCAGCAGCAGTCAGGCTGAGGAGATTTGTCTCTGCCATAGGAAAGAGTTGCATTTTCCTCCATGTTCTGCCAGACTGTTGTCTATAAAGATAAGGGACCCATGTGAGTTCATGCCTTGGTGTGCAAGTCAGAGGAACTGCAACCACAATAGAAGCTCCTCCAAAATCAGGGTGTTGGAGAGGAGTTCCCAGCTTAACACATCGTCTCAAAGTATTTGGCAGCTGGTTAGAAATCCAGTGCATCTCAGCAGCGCGCAGAGGCTCAGGATGAGACCAGAGCCCTGGTGTGGGACATGCTGCCCATGTGTGTAGTCACAGTCTCTAGAGTATGGGCAGTTAGGCAAAGGGAAGGGGCACACAGGGACCCCATAACTATGTAGCAAGAGGCGATGCTGGGCAGTACCAGCATTATCCAGCACCAACAGTATCCATTATTGCCATAGCTGTGAGGTCAGTATTGTGCTCACTCCACTTGTGCCTGGTCACAACCCTGGTCCTGTTCTCCCTGTGCAGAGCTGGAACAGTGCCCAGTTGGGGGATGCTGGAAGGCCTGACTGCAGGCTGATGTGGCACAGCAGTGGAAGTTTCTAGATGTCCACCATAGCGAGCCCCATTCCTGGGACAGATCCCAGCTGTCCCACCAGCTCAGACTGGGGGAAGGGCAAGGGCTTAGTGGGAGGGACCCCTCTGCAGAGCCTCACCCAGAGCCCCTGAGCTGATGGGGAGTACGAAGTGGCACAAAGAGCCAGCGGTACTGGAGGACCTGGAGTAGGGCGGCAGAAACGAAGTGCTCCAAAGAGGAGGAACAGCTGGTGGAGGTCAGTGGGAGGAAGATGGTGGGAGATCGCAGATTGGACAGGCTGCCCAGGGAGGGGAGACACAATGGAGGGAAGTTGCTGCGTGGCTGTGCTGGAGGCAATGCCCGCCTGTAACATGCCCCACACCCTGGGGCAAAGTGGGATGCTGCTCATGGGGTGAGAGGCACCAGGAAATCCCTGGTGGAAATCCCTTCAACATGGTCCCATCCTGTGATGGTGGCATAGCAGAGGGACTTCAGGGAGGGAGAGATGGGGAGGACCCAAGGGGCAGAGGGTGTGTATTTCTTCCTGGTTGATCGGGGGGTTTACTGCTGTTTGGGAATCAAGATGGAAGTTGCCAATTGATTTCCAAGAGGGATGAGGTTTCTAAGACAGTGCACTAACTTAAAGGAAAGGAGGGACTCTTGGGGTAGCTAGGCTTTAACTCCCAAGCCTCAGACCCACTCCGTGCACAGGCTCCAGTTGTGTTTTTCATTCAAGTTTCCTGGCCAAGGAGGAGCCCATGAGCAGAACTTGTCTCTGTCCAGTGGTTCCTGGGGAGGCTTGATCCAAACCCCAGTTCTGCCTGGTTTTCTGAGGCCTTTCCATCATGCTCAGGATCACACAGGAGCAGTGCTGTTCCTTCCGCAGCACCACAGACATGCTCTGGTTTCCTCTCCTTCCTGTCATCTTTTTCCATTTCTCCCTCCCTGCTGCTGAGGTCATCCCTCCCCCTCATATCCTTCATCCTTCTCTCTTCACCACTCGTTGCCATCAGCAAGGAGCTCACCTGGGCACAGAGGGAGATGGGTGCTCCCAGAGAGGCTGGCCAGGCTGCCCACGGACCTGGGCAGACCTCGCTGAGTTCTGGTCCCATCTACTTCAACCTGGACACAGCCACCTCCTGCTGCCTTGGGCCTGGGAACCTGGGGACCCAGCTGTGTGCTGGGGTGGTGCCCAGCTCTTGCCCCTCTATTTTGGATGATTTTGGAGTGGCAGCTCCTGCTCTGCAGAGCTTTCCACTGCAGCCACTCCATGCCTTGAGCTAGGAGCTGCCAAGGCTGCTTGGCCACGGGGCTCTGCAGAGCTAAGAGGTCTCAGAGATGCTGGAAGCTCCTCCTGGCAATGGCAATATGATGTTGTCGTCACACAAGCACTCTCCAGTGCCAAGAAGGCTGTGGCCAGCCATGGATCAGGTAATTAAATTAAAATACTGTACCTGTGCTATGGAGCCTCCAGAGAGGCTTTCTCACACTACTTGTCTGGGCCAGGGACCTACCTCCCTTCCTTGGATGAGTCACTGCATCACAAAGTAACTACACCTGACTAAGTGGGGTGATGGGACTCACATGTTTTAGTCGTTCCTTCTCCCTGCAACGGTGAGACTGGGCACAGTGCTGCCATGAGAGATCCAGGTATCCCACGAGGGATCCACTCTAATCCCACAAGGGATCCAGATGATCCCTCCAGAGAGGGGGCCTGCATCTTTGTCCCCTTCAGAGCAGAGTGCTGCTGAAGGTCAGAGCTGCCCTTGTGGCCTGTCAGAGCCCTTCCCGGCTGCATCATGCCACCATCCCCCGCCTAGGCAGTAAAACCCACAGGCATTTCCCCAGGGACGACCCTTCTCCGCGCCCAAGGCTGCTGCAGGCAGGCGGTGCCGGGGCCAGCGGGGTCCCGAAGTGCTGCCTGGAATCCTCAGGTCCCCTGGGCTGCCAGCAGGGACAACTGCTCCCGGGGCCTGTCCCCAAGCGAGATACGCCACCGCCATCTATCGGCCAGCGGCAGGGGACAGAGAGCGACAGGCACCCCTCTGTCCTCGCCACCTCGCGCCGCGGGGGCTCTGCGGCTTATGCTGGCTCGGTTCGGGGGTGCCCAAGTCCCCCTGCAAGGCTTGGAGGGCTGCAGAGCATCCAGGTAGGGTCTCGCCTCCCCGCTGGGAACAGCAGTGGGACAGACTGGACATCGTGAATGCTAGGCTGGTTGTGTGGGCTCTGGACAGACTAGTGTCTCCCCACGGCAGAGCCCAGCAGGAGCTGAGGGTCTCCAGATCCGCGCAGGAGCACTGCTGCACCGGGCAGCACCACCGGGGCTTGTGCACTCAGCAAAAGCAAGCACCCACCTGCCCCTACTGCATGGGTGCAGTGGGAGAGCTGGAGACAAGGCTGATGTCCCCTGCCAGCCTCTAGCCACCATGCAGGCCCCTTTCCAGGGAGCAATGCTTTGCACTGCGTTCTTTTAGCTGAGCACAAGCACCCAGTGTGTCTCTGTGAGATACCCAGCAAATTTCCAGCTCTGATTATCTTCTCTGTCCCAAAGTGGTGCAATTCACCTAGTGCCAGGAGCCCCTCTAAACCTTCTGATACTCTGACACTGCCCACAGCTTCCAGCTAATGTTCTGCAAGTTCTTGACCATATGATGGCTGTGGCATCCAGCACCTGGTGCCTGTCACAGCTGTGTCCTCACCAGAGG